TTTTTTTTCGTAAAAAATTTCATTTTTTTGAAAATTTTGGCCCATTTGACCTTGAAGTAAAGGTCAAAGGTCAAATCCGAGGGTATATTTGAAATCTACACATATGACTTTTGGAAAGCCGTCTGTAGAAAATTTTCCCGTAACTCCTTCCGTAGGGTAGATAATTAGCATTTAATTTTGCCATTTTTGGACAAGGGTGCATTGCAATGAGTGCCACACCCAGACCCCAATACCGACAAAGCCCAAATTTTACGTGGAACGAGTTGAGATTATAGGTGACCTAAATCCATGAGATGGGTATGGGGGGCCTTACCGTCTAGGAGGAGAAGCGGTAACGGTAGCCGTCCGGCGGAGCCGGCGGAGCCGGCGGAACGATCCGGACGAGACCGAAACCATGTGTACCGCCAGCGCTAACGCTGGTGGTACAATTAGAAAGACTGAAGGAAAAAATGCTGCTCCCTCATCACTGTGTGAAGTAGCTATGTGTGCCTGATCTTCAATTATACTTTCCAAAAGATTTGTTCAAGATTAATGATAACTGGAGCTATAGTAGACTATAGGGCAACTACTTATGCAGAGTCTACTGTAGACCTAAACTGACCGGTGTCTTTCCTCCTGACCCACGACACATAATGTCCACTGGAACTTGACCTGCCACGGTGGGTTAACACTGCCCTCAGCTTGTAGTAACCACTGTTGTTGGAACCAGTATCTAAATATAAGTAAATAAATAAATAAATAAATATAATTATTTATATCAGAAAGCAAAAAGATTTTTATCTTAAGCAGTCTGTTTATGAAACACATTACAATAAGTGCTCAAATTTCAAATTAATTTCCTTGAATTTTCAATTCATTATTTGACATGAAATACATAGATATGAGAATGTGCACTATAATCACGAAGTGTTGAGTTCAGAATAAGAACATTAGCTACAGGTACAAGGCACTAAGTAGGTGTAACTGACCATCAGGAAATGAAAATGGCTCCTTTTTTGTTTTCTTCTCAGGGACAGCAGGGGCATTTTTGACACCTTTCTTGGCCTTGGACTGAAACAGATAATGAGATTCACATTCTTAGTGAAAGAAGGACACTTCAGTTTTAACTGCAGTTAACTCCATTTTTTCCTTAATAACTGACATCTTCAAAATTAAACAAGAAGACAAATGTCACTCTTGAAAGATAACCATTTTTAATTCCTAGATAAGTAAAAAGATTTTCTGATCAAGTTTTGGAAACTGGAATAAATTTTGAAAAAAGGAATAACTGTTGTAACAGGGTAATGCAACATGCAAAACTAAAGGATAAATGCTGGATAACATGTAACTGTTTGTACTTTTTTTTGGATAAAAGAATTTTTTAGAAGAAAATGGCCTTACCAAATTTGCTCTCTCCACATTTTTATCTTCCTCTTCCTTAAACTTTGTCCTCATTGGGACCAGCTTTTGCTGCAGTTCTTCAGTACACAGGTCAAAAAGGTCCAAAATTTCTGTGAATTTCACATCCTGTAAAAGGTGTAAGATTTCTTTGAATTTTATCATGTATTTTAACACAGTGAGCACAGACAAGAGACAGATACAAGCTGAAGATACAGATCCAAATAACAGACAAGAATGGAGGAGGGCCATATGTTTGAAAAGGTCCAACCCTGTTCATTCAGGACTGAATACCTGGAAAAACCTAAGATGATGATGATGATGAACAAAATTATTGACCCACTGCATGAGAATTATTTCCTTGTCTGTCAAATCTTAGCCCAAAAGTAAAAATCCACATAGCAAAAGATTTACTTAATTCTGTGACTGATCTCATTCACTTCAACTAAATATGCTCCACATATCAAGATGAAAGCAGAAAGAATCTTAAGTGGATGTCAATCGAAGCAGAAACACTGGGCACTTACTTTCAGAATTTTAGCATTGACAGCCTCCTTTTCCTTGTAAAAGAATCTAACAAACTGGATCGTTAAATATGCTGGTAGACGACTAATTTTACTCTGGAAATGAAGAATGGTTTGATATCTATAACCTTTGTTAAAATGTCAGGTGAAATCAGATTAATAAGCTATGCTATTAATGTATAATTCACTTTAATAAAAAATAATGTTTAAGTTCCTGCCATTAGGGTTTTGAAAATGAAATACATCATTGCAAAAAAAGTGTACTTACTGTTTTTTCATACTGTGCATCTCTACCTAGTGTGGGGGAATTTTTTGTTATATGTTCTTCGAGTCTCTGTTTAAAAAAAAAAAAATGAAAAACTAAGGTAAGAAAAGGCAAAACAAGATATTTACTAATACAATGTATAGACAAGGACACTATTCAAATATACACAGCTTTATATTACTATATATTGTATTCTGCATTCTAATGAGGCACAAATATAGGAACATTTATGTAACTTTAAAATTTTCAATCGTGCCAAATATTTATCTTCTACTTACTGATTTCAAACCAGTTTGCAAATATTTAACATCTGGAATGAAAATGAAAAAGTATTTAATCTACAATCCATTTAGATTAAAACAACCAAAATAACACGAGTACATGAAAATCATTAACTGTATAGATATAATGAACAGTTTTAAATCTCATCTCTCTATCACCTGATTACCTTAGCAACCATGCCAAAGGGTAACAACAAACCTTACCTTTTTCTATAAAGCAACTCAGTTGCAGTAGATTCTCTTTCATTATAGTTGGTGGCTCTTCTGGAGCCTCAACACATTTCATTCTGGTAAAAATTAAGGTTGACATAAACATCAAATTATACACCCTAACTAACTTACACAATAGTCAAATACAGAACAAACAAATTTGATAATGGGTTTATCAGTAATGTCCCTCAATAAAAAGAATGTTTTTCTGGGGTAATGCAATCAGAAAGGATACGTTGAAGTCATCTCCACTCCCATAAACTGGTCAATGAACCCCCTGGTGGGTGCTGGGGTAGAGCCATCAACCTAAAACACATGGCAACTTGTCTTATTCCATTTTACATTGATATATATTTCATCTACTAATTATTTTTAACATGTTTATTCGTCAGAGATGCAATATGACTCACTTGGGCATACAGAAGGAATACTGTTAACTGAAAAGGCAATCTATCATATATCGCACATAAAAAAAACCTATATACATTAATACCATTGTATACTAAATAGAAATATACCTGAGATAAATTAACTATACGATTCAGCATTGCAATGTTGATAAAATTTGCAGATGAGTGAAATTTCTACTGAAAATGATTTCTAATGAGAATACTTACTGGGGCAGTGTCTTCCAGGGATGTTAGTTTTTGCTGTAGACATCTCACTATCAGCGTCCAACATTCATTGGCATCCTGTTTGAAAATAAAAATGTACCATATTTCATTACTGTTTCATTACACACGCACACACAAAAAAAAAAAAATAAATAAATAAATAAATAAATAAATAAATAAATAAATAAATAAATAAATAAATAAATAAGTACACCATGCCAGTGCTTTTTTAAACAGAGCATTACTTCAATTGTTCCATGTTTTACATTTAAAAAATATATTGATATCATACATTTTTTAAAAATCAAATTATGACATCTTCAGGTATATTTTGTTGATAAAACTTCAATATAAGGAAAATCTGAAAGAATTGTTAAAAAATTTGTACCTGCTGAGCCCAATTCCCATGTTCGCTTTCTTTCTCAGCAAACTGGGGGAACACCATCTGCAGTATGCTCAGCAGTATAAGGGGAGGAACTGTATTAGACTTGTCCATGGAGGCATACAGATCCCTCAGAGCTAAAACACACATATCATATATGAAAGTGATATTAAAGTAGAAATTTTAATCTTTTTAGGGCTAAGGCTTTTATCAAATTTCCAAAGCTTTTGATTAATTTGAATAATTTTCAGTGCTTGCAGTCAGTCAAGTTTGTTATGTTGGAAAATATAAGTAGAAGTTGTATATTATGCCTGCATATTCAATTCAATCGGTAATCATGCCCATCCAACAAGCCAGCATATATTTCAAATAAATTTAACAGATTCTTTCTAACCTGTTGTAACAGCATATGATGGGTTGAATACACCAGCTCCAACATTGGGATGACCAACAACTCTGAAATTGCAAAATAAGCAAATGGGACTGTGGATGAAAAGGAAAGTATAAAAAACAAAATAAATTAAATAAAATTCTCATCAAAAACGGATTAAGCCCCATGTTCATCACCAGCATTGTGTTGTACATTAAGCCTTTAATGCTATTTATGGATTTATCACTACCTTAATTTTAAGAGATAGGTTGGCAGATGCGTTAATTTTACATCAATGGAAAAAATAATTTGTTTGAAAGAGTGTGTGCATGTTGTGTGAGGGAGGGGATGGTGTCATATTAACTGAATGAAACCATAAGTCTTTAAAAACAATTAAGTCTGAAAGTTGGTAATTACTTGTTAATAGCTTCTCTGAGCTCTGGCACTGCCTTCAGACACTGCACTGTGGCATTCATATAACAGGTATTGCCCAGGTTGTTCAACCCTGCTGGTAGCTCCATCTGAAATCAAGGAAAATGTTTGACTTCCAGTTGTACATGAGAGAGAGAGAGAGAGAGAGAGAGGGGAATACGAAGCAGACCTTCCTCAAATTAAAAAATTGGTTTAAAAAATACTATTGAAAGCAACACTTCCAAGTTCCAAGCATGCTGCCCTATATTTGTGTATGCATTTCTTAAGTTTATATCACACCAAATAAAAGCAAACTATATGTGTTTGTATAGGACAAATGTGTTCCACTTACAGCTGTAGCAAGCTGTTCTTCATTCATGTCCTCCATAAACACAGTCTTCTCTACTGGTTCCTGCAGTGCATCAGCAGTGCCCATCATCAGCAATGTAGCACCCTGGGAAAAAACCATTTATATTTATCAATTTAAAAATCTTCTAGATTAGAGCAGTCACACTGTTAGTTTTATTTTGATTATCCAGTTTTTATTCATATACCTCAATCCAGTCAGCTTATGCCTATAAGGTCATGCCAGACTAATGTGAATGTCTAAACTCAGATTACTGAATGATACTGAGCTAGTGCTACTATTCTGAAATTAATATCAGTTCCTTACATCTTTCAGCTTCATGTTCCCCCATTCTTCATCCTGCAAGAGATAAATAAAAATGTCAATCAGATGGCTGTCATTAGTAAAAATCTTTTTTCTTTTTTTTTTGTCATTAAGCTGGAGTGGGGCATTACGTTGGGTCAGTCTAAGGAAGATCTAATACATAAACCTCAATACCTCAAGTAAGACTTAAAATACAATTCCTCCACTGCTTTTCACATCTAAACATTCACCCTACTCCATGTACTAGTACATGTATACATGTGAATCTTGTGGGCAAATAATGTAATGAGTATTGTTGTCAGAAACAGCTTCAGCAGAGGACATCCACTCCTTAACATCTTCATTTGTTACGTATATGTTTTACCTCAACGCTAGAGTTTTTTCCTTTTCATGAGGTCGACTATCAGGTTATTTCAAGACTGACCCCTTAAAGAAAGTCTACCCAATGACCCAGAGACAGAACACAAAGACATCTAAATAACAAAGGTGCAGTAAAATTGAGGACATTCACTGCCAACTCAAGAAAACAGGAAAAGAAGAGCAGCTTGTTAAAGCAAAGCAAATATGTTTAATTTGAATCTAAATAAGATTTAAAAAAACATACCTTTAATACAGCTCCTTTCATCATAACTTTCTGTCTATCAGGCTGAACTCCAGAGAGAGCAAACAACTGACTTTTGAACAAAAGAGGGGGCTCATCTGTATTACACTCAACATCTGTGAACTTCTCCTTGCCCCATTTCACATTCACTGAAAATGTATTGAATGTGTGAACTATAAAAGCACATCTGATTATTTTGTGATAGCATTACGTCTGGATTGAGGGAATGACAGATATTTCACATAAGGGTAGGAGAGCTGTTTAACTCTCTCTAATGTGTTCTAAAATACAACCAATATGCACACGAATTATGATAATAAGTGTTATTTTTTCATTCTCTTATATATATATGTATGTTAGCATACCAGTAGCTTAGTACTAGTACATTATTTCCAAACAAATTGGCCACGGCTATGAATAAATGAAACATTAGACTTTAAGGGCTTCACATCAGCAAAATTTAATTTCAAAACAAAGATATCTTAATAAACTGTCTGAGATATTATTTTCAGCAGCAATTATTCCGATCAGTTGAGTCTTCAAAAGCTCATGAGCAAAAAACAGCCATTGATGCTCTTTAGGAGTAACCAGTTATATTTCAATGGCAGACTGATTTCTAATATCAATCACTTTTAATTCCATAGTGTCATATTAGTTGAGCCTGTATAAATTGATTACAACTGTAAAGTCAGTATAAACTTTGAATGTAAATTAAATGTAAAAAACTGATCGCAAAAATTAATTTAATTGTGGAAATAAAAATCAGGATCTCAATAAATTGTCTGAGATGTTATTTGTAGATCTAAGAAATCTTTTCGACAGCTCTAGATTGATAATATATTCTGATTAGTGGATCCTTGACGGTCCTTGCATTGATTATTCTTCCAAAATCTCATGCCACAATGGACCAGACAAACTAAGGACTATCTGTTTTATAGTTTAGATGTAATCAGTTTTATTTAAGAGACAGACTGAATTTTTAATATAGATCTCTGTTAATTCTACATATAATTGAGACTGTATTACCTTTGAATGTCGGCATTTTAAATCGAAGAAATCACGCTAGGCTGTCCACAATGAGTTTCAAAATCTTCGGTACAGGAAGTGATTAGTGTCTACATCCCAATGAAGTGCACTGCCGGCGAGCCTCAGCTGGTCCCGTGCCACAGTTGGCACAGGAAGTTAGCCTCAGAAAGTCAAGACAAGGCCACAGAAAATTGATAAGTTGGAAACCAGCGGCTATTCTGCATGAAAGATACATGATGTCTAACAGGCAAAGCGGCTAAATTTTAGGGCTGGGCAGCATTTTTTCTTTTCAGTGTGGGGGGTGGGGGTGGGGGGGGGAGGTGGGGTCAAACAATAGCATTAATTAAGTATTGCATGGTGTCATTTTTCTTCTAACCAAACCAATAACCAAGGCATTTTTCCATTTGAAAAATAAAAATAATTAATTTTTGAAAAATAATGCAGAAAAAAAACAAACAAACTTAGCAGTAGTATTTGTTTACAAACATTTTGCTTTATTTATCAAAGCAACAGCCAAGCCTTCCTTACAGAAGTCAGAAAATTGCTTCATTGAGGCACGAGTGAGCATTAGTAAATTGAAAAACAAATGCCACACTGTTTAACTGTATATAATTTTGTTTTTCTAATAGATTTCATTTTGAGGGAAGGATGAAATGATACATTTGAAAAAATTATCATATTGGTTCCAAACAAGCAAAAATATTATCAAAACATTTTTGGAATCTTGTGCTGCAGCCTACATGTATTAAAAGTGTTAGAAGTTCCTTTAGCTACATGGAACTATAATAGGAACTGTTATTTTATCAACATAACAATGTCTGCAGTTTACTTTTTATTAACATACTAACAATGTCAACTTTACAAACATCTGAAACAATGGTTGTAGTTTTTCAGTAATCAAAACACGTACAACAAAAATTCTTAATGGTGTAAATATTTTAATTTCAGTCTAAATGTTTTTTTATAATATCATAAAATCCATATCACAACTCATAAATAGGGTTACATTTGCTTCATTTCAGCCATTACAATTTCATTGCATTACAGTGAAATATAAATCCATTCCTTTGAAAAATAGTAATTTTTGGCTTACTAGAATTCTACATTGTAAATCCAATGTGATGCTATATGTCACTGTTACATACCTTACTTTCAAAAAAGTGTCTAAGCCCGTTTAATTTTCTCTCAGTATGCAATACTGGAGTTTAAATGCAGCAAGTTCACAGTACTTTTTAAAATTACCCGCCAGTCTTTTTTCTTGCTGTTTCTGAGAATTATCACACAGAAATTAATCACTATCAAATAGGCAAAAATACCTTTTAGTCACGGAAAAAAAATGATTAAAAGGTGAAGTTCAGAGGGCATTTACTGGGGAACTGGTTCCTGGCCTTCCTGTCCATCAGGCCTGTTCTCTTCAGTCTGAGTCCCTGTTGTCCTTTGCTCTGTATTATATATTACATTATGGCACAACGGACATTTTTCTTGAACATACAACCACTTTCTGAGACATAAACTATGAAAATAATGATTACACCTGGTAATTTTTGCATTGTTCAGCTCCTGATAGCAAATTGCACATACATCGTTGAAATTTTCTAACTGCTCTCTAGTTGCCTCAGGTAACGAGTTAANCCCGCCAGTCTTTTTTCTTGCTGTTTCTGAGAATTATCACACAGAAATTAATCACTATCAAATAGGCAAAAATACCTTTTAGTCACGGAAAAAAAATGATTAAAAGGTGAAGTTCAGAGGGCATTTACTGGGGAACTGGTTCCTGGCCTTCCTGTCCATCAGGCCTGTTCTCTTCAGTCTGAGTCCCTGTTGTCCTTTGCTCTGTATTATATATTACATTATGGCACAACGGACATTTTTCTTGAACATACAACCACTTTCTGAGACATAAACTATGAAAATAATGATTACACCTGGTAATTTTTGCATTGTTCAGCTCCTGATAGCAAATTGCACATACATCGTTGAAATTTTCTAACTGCTCTCTAGTTGCCTCAGGTAACGAGTTAATTTTATTAACCGCAGTCCTTCTTTTCATAAAGGTGCTCCAACCTTCTTTGGCCTGTACCCAGATATTGAAATATGCATGAATACACATCATAATTGCACGGATTGTACCACCAGACTCAAATGCCATAATCCAGGCACCATTGCAAAATAAAAAAATTCCAAATAAAAATTCAATTGTGCTGCCAG